CGCTACACTCATTCTATAGGTATATTGTTTTTTGTCCACCCAACATTCTGCCCCATAGAACAAAGCTAATCTCACCACTGTCCTATAGAACTTGCCCTTCAACCTCATTGGTCTGTGGCAATCACATAAAATTCCAGTTGCACATCTCCACTTCGCCCACCCAGCTCTAATTATGTGTGAGACATCTTCCTCGATCTCTCCATTTTCCTAAATTATCGACCCAAGATATCAAAAATGTTGTCTTTTTTGTACCTCCTAGTCGTCAATCTTAACTACTTTCTCGCCTCTACTCCTATTATTACTAAATTTGCACTCCATATACTTTGTCTTAGTCCGACTGATTTTAAAACCTTTGGATTCTAGAGCATCCCTCCAAAGTTCTAACTTTGTGTTGACGTTGTTTCGGGTCTCATCAATCAAAACTATATCATCTGCAAACAACATGCATCTCGGTACCTCATCGTATAGGTGCCAAGTCAAATCGTCCATAACTAAGACAAAGAGGTACGGGCTCAATGCCGACCCTTGATGTAGACCTAATGTCACTGAAAACTCACTCGTCTCTCCACTAGTTGTTCGTACACTAGTAACTACTCTATCATACATATCTCTCACCAAATCGATGTAGTGTCTAAAGACACCTTTCCTTTCCAACTCCTGCCAAATCAAATCTCAATGTACTCTATCATAAGCTTTTTCTAGATCAATAAAGACCATGTGGAGGTCTTTTCCCTTCACACTGAAGGAAAGGCATGTTCAAAAACAAGTTAAAACCTTGGGTATACCCTACACACCAAATTTTGTGCATGTTGGAGAGTGTTTGAAGGGTATTCAAATTGTCACACTCAGTCCATGTATGTAAAATAAGGGTGCGATCAAACTTTTGAATTGGATTCAAATGATAACCCTTTGATCTCAAATTTGGTGGGATGTTCGAGGAATGTGATATAACTTAATCAAATTTCATAGGTTCCCTCATCCCTCAATCTTCACCACATTCAAAGCCAAGCCTAGCCACTTGGGTGTGGCTAACTTTTAAGTTTGCTCAACTGAAATTGGATTGACTTGAAATTTGGGGAGCAAGCTTATATGTGCTGGAGAAGCTTAGGTAGAAATTTCATGACGTTTGGATATTGTTTTATACAACACAAAAATTTGCTGCAACCACCATGCTTTTGAAGAGTGCAGCCAAGATTTGAATATGAGATCTCTAGGTAAAATATGATGAAGATTGACTCCAAGTTGTTACAGGAGCCTTGTGGGATTAAAATGAGACTTTCTTAACAAGTTTTAAACTCACTAAAAGTCCTATATTGATGAGAATTAGGACAAGGAAAGATATATTGTGTTTATTTTTTGGGAAACTAACATTATTTCCATAATTTCAAAAGATGAATCACAAAAAAGAGGAAGACATGTGGATGTGATTTCCTAAAGATAAACTCAATCTTGAGAAAATAAAACTCAGGAGTACACCCCAAAATCATTGTTGTTCTTGCCATACAGAGAGTGGCCATGGAACAAATTTAACATTGAAGGATCTTTTGATTTACAATTTCATTTTTTCATGAAATACATGCCATCTTAATCCTATCTTGATGCATAACCAAGACTGGGGGTCGATGGGATTTTAAAACACTAGATTTGAACACGATTTAGCTACAAAATACACTACTCTCAAGCCTGGCCGCCTAACTGTGGCAAACCTTTGGCAAGTAGAATTGTCCAATATTTCATCCTGATCTCTGGGGATTTTGTTTGCAAATAAGTATGGTCCGTGGGAAAACATTTGCTCATGTCTCCAAGGGAAGGAAAGTTCTAGAAGATTTGGATTTGAAGAACATAAAACTCTGAAATTCAATAGAAGTCCATCCTGTCCAAGAAACCAAAGCCCTCTATATAAATACTTTGATTTTCACAGGCCAAAGTTTCATTCAAGAGCTAATGCTCTATTGCATTGAAATCTAAGTATTCTCAAATCTGTCCCTAATCAAGGATTTATAGATACTTCACATTGAGAGAGGATCTGATAGTGTTTTTCGAACCAGAGCATGAAGAGCTTCAAAGAGGAGCTTGGAGGGGGGCCTTTGCATAATGCAAGGCACAAGAATTTCTATGTAGTTCACCTTTAATGTTGTAATTTTCTTTGATTTTGAACCTCTGTAATGCTTTGTAACAACCTGGATCAAAGATACTCCTTGCTGTATGCTAATTGAATGCAAATGAAACAAGTTGCTTATGAGCACTTGGAACTCTTCCTGGCCAACAACACAAAATAATAAAAAAGATAAAGCTTTTGAATATATGAATTCATAGATGTAATTTTTGTCTTGGATTTGTGCTATTGCCTCTGGTTCATTGTCATTCGATTGAAGTTCCTATGTTTTCCATTAGTACACATTCACCTGATAGACAAGATTATCCCTAAAACATTTCTTTACTAGAATTTCTTGATGGAGAGAGATCTATAGCTTGAGACACCCAACCATCCGCAAGGGCATAATGTCCTTCAAAGAGGAGATGCAAAGCGAAGACATGGGGAAGCATTCAGCTCCCTTGACAATAACAACATTGCTCAAACAACACAACCCTGAATGCACTAGTGCTACATAATAAGTCCCAAGTTAGTTCCCTCAAGAACTATCTCACGAATATAATACCAAAGATCCTGATAAATAAAATAAATTAAGAAGTACTGGCACAACAAAATAAAATTGAAAGAACTAAAAAACAAAACAAATGAAAAGTTTTTGTAAGGTTTTCAAGCAAGTCATAAGAGTTCAAGAGGCAATGTACTGAGAAATGGCAGCAAGTTGAATGAACCAAGACATCAAGATGTGAGCAGATGATAATTTCTTTAAGGCTAAGGAGAAAATGATTCTTTTTGGGGAGTTTCCTGATATGATCGAAAAATTATGCGGGTAATGCAGCTAGTATTTAAAAAACGGCATATACAGCCTGATGAGTCGAGCCTGACCATATATCAGATAACAGAAACAAGTATGTCATATTAATAAAATGAAGGCTCAGCCATATATCAGATAACAGAAACAAGTATGTCATATTAACAAAATGAAAAGATTATCACATCCCTTGCAAAGGAATGAGACTGACGAGGCAACAAACAATCACTCATAAATATTATGAACATTAGTTACCAAGAAAGACCAGCACTTTGAGATTAAAATAAATCAATTAATAAATATTATCAGTGAAATCACTGTGAGCAAAGCAGGAAGAGAGTTAATGATTTCCGAATACAGCCATGAGAGTAGGTAGAAGTCGATCACATAAAACACGTATATTCTAGGTACAGTTACGAAGCTAATGCTGATGCTATTCTTGCAGATAACATACAAAACTGTTCATCCACACGACCATATATGGAAAACCTTAAGGTATCAAACTCCTTATGCATCAAAACATTCCAGACCATATTTAGCTTTCAACAATAAGTTTTTACAGATAACCATGTCATTTATTTCATACACGTAACCCCTTTTTTACTGATAATAGTTCTCGTAGGTACCGCAAAAGTATAAATTTTTTTTAAGATTTAATAGTGCAAGTTCTAACAGATATTAATCAATTCACAGCAAAAGATGAGACTCCAGGGACTTTTACTGTAGATTCAGCATTGAATCAAACGCCACGATACTTAATTTGTTTATTTAAAGAGAAATTCTGTGCAATAGGCAGAAGAATCAGCTAAACAATTACAATAATTCTTTATTTTTTACATTTCAGATCAACATAAGCCTCACTACACGGGAACTCACATCTCATGAGATTTTGTAAAACTTATATTATTAAAACATATTAGATGGCTTTCTTCAAAAAAAAAACATACACAATACCAGTGCCTTGACAAACTGATCAAAGATAACAAGGAACAAAGGATAAACTCTCACACATACTGATCAATCACATATAATTGATGACAGAGTATATAAAGGAATGAGAGAGAGAGAGGAGGGGGGGGGGGAAGGGAGGGATATACCTGTGAGATTCTCTTGAAGCCATTTTGAATTCTTGGGGCTCATATGACTGTCCCACCACCATGAATAGAGGCGAGTAGGATCAGCGTGCCGAGCAACCGACATATCAGCTATTACCAGATAGCCGAGTGGTCTCCCTTCCCTAGTCAAGCAAAATTCTTTCTTCAAAACCCAGAGACCCAATCAAAAGCTCAGAGATAAAAAATTGCACCTCCAAAGCCACAAATCACTTCAAAAACACTCCCAAAATAGGACCAAAGAATCCTTGATCTCCCTGTTTCTCTCTCTAAACTCAGAATTTTCTCCAATCAATAAAACCAGCCTTTAAAAAAACCAGGCCAAATAATGTTTCCAAAACCCAAATCCATAAACTCCAAAAAGATCCCAACTAAGCACACACAAAAAAAAGGTCTGCAAAACTAGTACTCTTAACAGAATAAAATCCAAGACGAAAACTGAATCAGAGAGTCCTCAAATCGCTATCTGCAATAAAAAAAAAAAACAAAAACAAAACAACAAAAAAATAAAGATCAAACCTTTGAACTTACATGCATGGTAACAAGAAACCAGTCCTACATAGATGGTGCTCTCATACTACACACCAGCAAAAGGACTGAGCAGAGATCTTACCAATGTCAAATATGAGTTACGAGTCTTGATCAATGACACGCCATTGACACGGTCACAGCTCCTTGTTTTCCTGCTCTTTTTTTTTTCCTGTGTGCTCCAGACCTTAATTTGGGCATCACCCCATTTTTTGTACTGTGTTATACACTGTGCAGGCAAAGAGAGAGAATCTAGACAGAACACAGGGGAAAGGTGGCATGGTGAAGAGAGAGAATATAGAGAAAAAGGTGAAGGAGGTTATTAGCAGGTAAGTTTGAATTGAATGCCAAGTAATAAGTCGAACACCCTGTTAATTATATTTTATTATATCATTAACAAATCGAATAGAAATTATCGGACCTAACTTCCTCTCTCTCTCTCTAATATATATGCGTAGAAGGCTAACAAACCGTCTTAATCAAATTCATAATAATCAATTTTTTTTGTATTTCTTTATTTATAAAAAGCAATTTAGTCCCTCTCTCTTCACTGCATTATGGGGGTTTCTCTCTCTAGGTTTTCTATCTTTCTCTCTCTACACTTGTTTGAATAATTTTTTTAGTGGGATGTTGATTTAACTTTCCTTGGGTATTTAAAGGGGGGTTGGTTTTCGGCTGTCTTTTGTCTTACTCCTGGGAATAAGGAAAGTTATGTGCAAACAAACGGTAGATTTATGAAATTAGGCCTGTCTTTTGAAGGAATATCTCTAGAATGCCCCTCTTCTTTGGTCTTGCCGAAATGAGTACGGAGTTGAAATCTGTACTTCCTTGGTGACATCTTTGCCCCCCAAGGTTCCAGGAAATTTCCAAAATGAACGCGATTAATGTGGTGAGAGAGCGAGTTTATGTATCACACACAGGAGGTTTTTTTGTTTTTTTGTTTTTTTTTTTGGGGGTAAGTCAGTACAGAACTAAAATGAAAGGAGTTTGCCAAGAGAGGTTACAAAACAAATAATTAATTAAATTTAAATGAAACGAAATGAAATGAAAAGGGGTATGGAAAAGTTTGATGGTGAGGTTTGTATAATAAATTATAAAGTGCCTATCTTATTCTATCCAAGTAAGGCCTCTTTAAATTTTGCTAGAGAATGGTGATCTAGTGTCCGATACCTTATGTTGGCTTGAAAGTTGGTGTTAAAACCGAATTATAAAACTTAAAAATTTCAAAAACTGGACAAATCGAGTAGATCTATAAACACTTGAAAATAGATGATCCAAATAGCTCGTTACTTGAAAATAGATGATCCAAATAGCTCTTTATAAGATGCACTATCTTTAGGATTTGAAATTTTTTATTTTTTATTTCTTTAATATCCAAACATCTCGAAGTCGATCTGATCAATTTGAAAATTTTTCAAGTTCATAACACTCTTTTATACTAAAATTTTAAGGTACACTTTACTTTTATAATATAAGATTGCAACCTTATATAAACTTTTTCCAAGTTAAATACTTTTAGGGAAAAGTAAATCCCAATGTTAAATATGAATTAAGAATGATCCTATCACAAGATAATATGTAGATAATTTTTGCTAAAATTTGGTCCAAAAAAGCATATCATGCATAGCAAACCAATGATACTCAAGGATAAGAGATGCTACCATCTTTAAATTAGCCCAAAATTTTCTTTTTTGACACATTTAGTAGTTGTTTTATAACTTAGACCGGTCATCAATCTAGTCAGGGTGTTTATGTTATCACAACCAATTTGGCCGGCCACAAATTTAACTAGTTAGACTAAATTTTTATAATAAAAAAAAAGAAAGAAAGAAAAAAGAATTATATGTTAAAAATGTATAATATATTACATATCAAAGTTTCAAAGTTTTGTTTTGTCTGTTTGAACAGGCAAAATAGTTAAATATAAAGCCTAGACCAGCTTTGAATTAGATCTGGGTTTACTCTAGCGCATACCAGCTAATACATTGGTGAGCCGCGAATTGGTTAAACCACCCAATCCGTTACCACTCAAATGGATTGCTAGAAGAAACCAAATCAAAAACTTAGAGTAGAATTAGACAAATGAAGCACAATCAAATGGGACCCTTTCGTCACTTAAAAACTTTAGGTGAGCCTGTGTTTGGTGAAGGGTACTCCCGAAACTTTATGCAAGAAAGTGGTCATTTCAGAAAATGGAGTCCTTTGTGGGTGGGGGAAAGCGGCCCGTGAAAGTTGGGCGGCGCTGCCGTTGTCGTTGCGTGGGGAAATTCTCCAAAACCCTGAATGAATATTACTATAACGCCCTCACAAAAAAAAAAAACAAACTTCATCAAAATAATTACTAAAATACCCCTATGGGTGGGCGCGCGTGTGTAGACCCATGTCATGACGGTTCTCATATGTCCACGGTAGACTTGATGAGAGTTTGAAGTGCATAGTTTATGTGTAGATATTGTTAATTATTTTTGTCAATATTTTAGTTTTTTTGTTATTAAAATAGAGAATGGCATTTGGAGTTTGAAGATCATTGATAACGAACAACATTATTTTGCTACCCAAAAACTAAGCCAACACACGACAAGAAGATCATTGAGGAGATCCTCCTTGTTATTGCTTAGGTTTCCCTTATATATATATATATATATATAAAAACTCTTATTCTCAACTCCAAGGGTAGAACTAAATTGAGAGAGAAACGAAACCTACAACCAATATAGAAAAAAACTACATAAATAGTTCAAAGGTCGCCCCATCCCTCTCCATGCAAGTAGTGTTAACTGGATCGGATCGACCACTAACCGGATCGGATGAACGGTGAGTTGAGACATCAAGAATCCCCCAACCCCACTCAAACGTAAATGACATAAATTGTCTCGCCTTCTCGATGCAAGCCAATGTTAACTACATCACATTGTCTCAAATATGATCAGAATCGATCTGACATCAAGTCTAGTTAATTGGACGGATGTAGAAAGAATAAAAGAACTATAGTAGTAATAATTAAGAACTGGCCAGTTAGACTGATTAAAACCGGTCAAGCATTAGTGTTGACTAATTTTCATCAAAACTCAACTTTTATAAACCAAATTAACCAAGACACTGACCGACAGTCCCACCTGTTGTAACAATAGTCCATGTATACTCCACTCCACCTTTAGTGGATAAGTGTGAACTTTGTCAACATGCACCAAAATTTTCCCTTGTTTCTTTTGTAAATAGCTCATAGACCCATGCACAGATAAATGCGCATGTGTATATTTATGTGCATTCACATGTGTGCATGAGCAAGGGTAAGGGAGATATGCAGAATAAAAACGAGGGATGTATTGATAAGGTATAGTTTATGTATGTAAGTTTATGGGTTATGATGTATCTCTAGTCAATTTGAACTCAATTGAATTTTGCTTTTAGTGAAAGATAAACATGACTCATTTCAGTTTTTCTATGAATTTTAACGACAGCAAAAGACTATGTACATTTTAGTCAAGGGAGTTTTAAGTGATATCCTATTCAATTTTGGCTTTTCCCTAAAATCCTTGTCAGATGAGGATTTAGGATTTGAATAACATTTTGTCACTCTAGATGCCCCTTTTAATCATGGAATATTATACAATGAAATAATTTATCTTTAGTACAAGGTGGTCATAATTAATCTTGACTATTGGATGTGAAATTAGATGGCCACATTTATTCTATTGACTAAGCTCAAACTTAAAAAAAAAAAAAAATTTGAACTTTGTAACACACCAAAACTATTAGTTTTCGCATCATGTGATTACAGGTAATTGTGACCTCTTTGTATCAAAGGTAAATAATCTCATTGCATACAATCCCCTTTAATCACAACCATGACTCTATAGCTCAACAAACAGTGCAGCTCAGCTCATATAATACGTGAAATTAAGATCAACAATAATGAAATTTTGAAAAATAAATTTCAAACTAATATATGTTTAAGAGTGTGGCTTGTATAAGGCCAAGACCGTAAACAATCAAAGTCAGGTGCGCCTTCATACAGTGTTGAAAGATGTTGTTTCAATACCGAAAATCTTTGTAGTGGTTTGATAATTTATTTTCATCTCTAATTATAAAACTTAAAACTTAAAAAATAGGGTAGATCGAGCATATTTATAAAGATTTGAAACTTTGAAAATTGATGATCCGAAAATTCATTACAAGATACACTATTTACAATACTTGAAATCCATTTTTTCTCATGCCCATGCATCTTGAGGTTGAGATGATCAATTTAAGGATTTTTGGGCATTGAAACCACCTCTTCCAGTGAAATTTTTGAGATGCGTCTTAATTTAATTGTTTAGAGCCTCGCCTCGCCCTTATATAAACATTTTCTAATTTTTAAAGATCAAAATTCACTTTTTTCGGATTCATGATAATGGGGGTCCACATTATTTACTTGTAAAACCTTGTGTCCAAAACCCGATGAATTTTCTGAAAAGACTATTTGAATAGGTGCATTGACTGACTAAAACATTTTTCTTTTTTTGTTAGAAAAAAACGTCGGCAATATATAAGAGTTTTGCTGAGGTTGCTCTCATGGGATTGAGAGTGACTTTTACAGGTAAGGATGGACATCAAATAAAAGCCATTCCATATTCATTCCTCTTAAACAGAGTATCAAATCAATAGTTTTAATCAACAATGCACAAGATGACATAAGATGGTCCCATACATGTGGATCTAAGTAGAAGAATAATTGTTTAATATGGAAAAGTAGATAGATGAAAGGAAAAAAAAAAAAAGGTGGGTGTCTAAAATGGAAGGGAGTAGGGTTTTGGAATCAAGTTGAGATTTTGTTTGTTTGGACAAAAAAAAAGCATGAATTATTGAAAGATCCAAGAGTAGGTTTTGTTTTTTTCTGGGGAAAATTGGGATGAGGAGCATCACAATTGGGTTTTGGTCTTATAGGGCCGGCCAATTTACAATTTCTATTGGGTTGGTGCAATTTGCATTGGGAGGCAACGCAAAGTTGTAAAGGAATAATTAAAGTGATACCTCGTATTGGCTTACCATGGCTTTGAGCCTAAGGAAAAGATGCTCTCTCATATTGTCTTACCATGGCTTTGAGCCTAAGGAAAAGATGCTCTCTCTCTCTCTCTCTCTCTCGTGCAGTGTTCAAACTCGGCCAGGTCAACTCACAACCGGCCTGTAAAATTGGAACCGGGTACTTCTGATTTGGTTTTGGCCAGTTTTGGACGTTGGTCGGATATTTTAAAAATAAAATAAAATTATATATATATATATAAATATATATATATAAAAAAAGGGATTTGTTTGTAATATATTTTTGAATATTTTTTTATCATTTTGGTAAATATTGAACAGTGTTTGGGCTATGAATACTTATTTTTATATTTTTCTTATCTTTTTTGAAAAAATTGAAAATATCTCTAGGCACAAATCAATTTTTTAAAATCCATTTTTTTCACACTTTTCAACTATATTTGGATGTGTTTTGTT